GGCTGGGCATTGTAGGACTGGGGCTTCCCTCCCTCCCGATACACTGATTCCTGTAAGGGGGGAAGGGCTTGGACAAGGAGAGGCGGCAGAAAAGTAGCCTGGGCAGGAGCTTTTGGAAGGGAATCTCAATCTTATCTTAACTTCAATAAGTTTGCTATTTTAAGGTGGCTCTGAGCTCCCTTGAGCAAATCAAAGCTTAGCTGCTGTCACCCGTATCTGTTGCAGTTGGAAACTCTTTCCATGTGCCTTTGGCTCTGTTTCTACTCATATGCAATATTTATGCTCTAAGATATTGATATGAATCAGAAGCTGAAGTCTTTCCAGTGGTGTTTAGTGGCCCGGTTGGAAAAATGCCATTTCTATTTATAATAAGATGAAGATAAAAATATTAAAATGGATGTGCTCAAATATAGTCAGTTTTGACTCTAGTCTGGATTTTTTTTCCCCTCCCTCTCTGTTCATCAGACAGAGAACTCACAAAATCCTAAATAATCCTGCTAGGCTATTTTAGATTGCTTTCCCCACAGCACACAAAACAACGAAGCTGATTCCCTTAAAACACCTATATGTGGTTGAAAGATTTGGTCAGCAAATAAAAAATATATCTCTGCCTTATGATACAAGGTTTTCCATTAACGTCGGTGACAGGGAAGCCAATGGTTAAATCTCTCTGTACCACGGAGAGCTGCCTGAAGCCGGAGAGAGGAGTTTATGCAGGGCTGTGTGTGGGGCTGCTCGCTGCTTGTGTAAAAATAGACGGCAATACATCAATTCCACAGTCTCTGCTGGCCACAATTCATACAGGGGGAGAAAAGCAAGCCGTTTCCTCATAATCTCTGGAGCCTACAGTGACTAACGGGGGGACGGAGGACCGCGGTGTGTTTGCATTCAGCACAACGGAATGTTCTCGGAAAGTTTGGGCAACTTGGGGAAAGAAGCTAAACTTTCTGTGGACCGCGATGAGATGGAGCCCAATTGCATTGCACGGGGGATCGGAGCTGCAAACAATGACTCTGGCAGAGGGCTGCTAGTGCTTCCTCTGGGCAGCTGGGGGCACGTAGGGTGAGGGGGAGGATCGGCACCACACGTGATTTGATTAAATAAGAGGTCCATGTGGTGCAGCGATACACATCTAAAGTGAAAATAATTTGGCCGGGGCCGTCTGCGAACGCATTTCTCCTCTCTAGCGAGCCATGCCCTGCGTTCTTAACTCTTTACCAGGATTTGCACATGTGGGCTCGGCTTGCGCTCTCCTGCCTTGGCAGATGGTCCTCACGGATCCTGAATGTCCTTATCTTGTCGTGATTTCTTGGTAAGGTGGGAGAAATCTGGATGATTCGTATGTCCTGTCGCTCTTAGGAGTCAGGGTTCCAAGTGGCTTGGAGTCCTGATTGTCTTGGAGGAGCCGGAGTGTCCTGTGTCTGGTTGTCTGGCTGGCAGTGTGGGGCTCAGCTGCTGTAGTTTCATTTTTCCATCATGTATTATTCCTGATGCTGTTGGGAGTGGATATGGAAATATGGAGGATTTGTTTTAATCACTGGGATTCCTGCAGTCATTTTCAAGGAGGCATCAGAGCCATTTAGAACAGGGGCCCTTTTATGTTTTTCTGAAGGAGGTGCTTTCCCGGGCTAAGCGTCCAGCCATGGATTGAGTTGTCGGTCGGCTGAGACTGGCCAGTTGCCTCTTACACCGGAGGCAGCGAGCTACTAGAAGCTCTGCCTTTGCGGTGGCAGCTCTGGGAATCACCTCGGCCAGTCTAACATATTACGAGCAGCAGGTAGCAGAGGCAGCTTTCAATTTTTGAATCATTAATGTTTGCTGTCATCCTAAAACGTATTATGCCCTTTTGCACATAATGACAGGACAGCACAGTGGTTAATAAAGGCCTATATCACTGTAGCTACTCAGAATCCCCAGTGTTTCACAGTTTAATGAAGGTGATGTACAATAAGGTTACCAAGATTGATAGAGACAATTCACATGACACGCACTCCAATAAGACTTGTCATTCTTTACTGCCCCCCGCCCTGCTCCCTTTTCGCTGTCCTCGCTAATTTTTTTCCTAAGAAGTAAGAATTCTTTTTTCATTAATATAATTAATGTGGCCATGTCCACTCTTTCTTCTCTCTCTCTTTAAAATTTACCATCAATGGCACAAAAACCTCCAAAAGGTTAATGGAGAATTATACTTAATTATGATGATTCATTATCTTCAGTGCAGTTAAGCTAATTTATTGTCTGCTCCTTAACTAAGAGAAAAGTCTGTTGGGGTGAAAAAACGTACAATAATTAGCCTTTTGTGTTTAGTGACTGCTTTATCCTCTTAAATCTTATTATAAAATTAAGGCTATGGTTGGGAAATAGCTGTCATTGTTGCAAAGAGGCAGTAGAATGCGTCTCTGTAATTGCGATACAGCACACCTGTTACAGATGTATAGGGAAGCAGTAAATATCAGCATGTCAGATGAGGACAGTTACAGCGCTCGGACTGTTAAGTCTGGCATCATCCAAAGGCCAAATATAAATTAATAACAGGAACACCTGCTACCACTAATGTGTTTTAGATTATCAGGATAATGCCACATTCAGAAACCCAGATTTTATTAGCATGTCAACATTGGCAAGAGCACATGCACATTTTCAACCATAACATGAGAGCAAAAAATGAGAGAAAAAGAGAGGAAAGGAAAGAAGAGTGTGAATTACAGCCCAGCAAAATGCCAGAAATTAATCTGGTCTTTTTAATGGTCAAAAAGTTACTTAAAAAAATGCATGTTCCCGAGAGGGTGCAGGGTTTTGAACGAGCCATGCCTGGAGAAAGCAATGAAGGAGAGAGACTGCAAGAAGTTGTTCACCAATCCATAAGGCGTTCCAGCATTCCAAAGTACGGTTCCTAAGGTGTGCTCTCCACAACAGCAACTTAAGCTGGATGGAGAGCTCCCACATGATTTCTACCCTCGTTTGATTTTTCTGTTGCCGTTTTTGCTGTTGATGCTTTTCTGGTTAAGGACTATTCCTCAATGCAATCCCAGTGGGTTTTGCACCATTGGAAAAGTTATCCCCTGGTCTCTGGATTGATCGTGCTGTAGAAGAGTTAACACCATGTGTTTGTCCTTGGAGGATAAGCAATGTGGGCATGTATGGAGCCTGAGAAGTGTCACACCCGTAACAGAACGCGAACATTGTACCAGAAAAAAAATCTTCTCCCCATCCCGGCCCCCGCTTCCTTATAAACCTAGTCAAGTGTACCGATCTGCAACTTGGGGCTACCTCGGATAATAAAAATGGAACGACCTATAAAATGATAAGAAAAGAGTTAGGTGGAGAGCTTTGCCTTTTCTTTTTGCATTCCCTTTGTGCCCGCAGTTTGGGATCTCACTGGGGCCTGGCGGTCTGAGGGAAGAACCGCAGTCATCTTCAGGCTGCTCCCAGCCTCCCCTTACCAACTGCTGACTCCATTACCCAGTCCCTACTTCTCAGCATGGTGCTTATGCTCACGCTGCTGCATATGACCCGTGTAATGTCGCCTGCCAGGGATGACAGGGGTGCTCGGGGGAAAAAAAAAATCTGCATAAAACTTATTTTATTCAAAACCTAAATGTCAAGTGGGATCTTCAGCTTCGTGCCCAGCTGCTGCCTGGATGTGAGCAACTCCCCAGCATCTCTCCTGACCTTGGAAGGTAGGGCCGTGAGGGTGCCACCTCAGAGTGTGTGTCTGCTGATTTAGACACCTTGGTTTGCAGGTGGATAAAGTCCTGTGGCTTGCCATCCCAGGTCCCTGCAGTAGGAAACTTCTGCAGGGTTCTTCACAGGATGCAGTGAGGAAACAGCAGTCCGATGGCCAAGTTGAGGTTAGAAGACCATCTCTTCCCTAAGGTGGTCCACTTTTTTTCAAAAAGCCATAGTGTGGGACAACTGAAAGGCCACCTACTCCACGCAAGGAAGTGAAAGACTGTGCCAGTCTGAAATAGTCTTGCTGAGAAGCAGCGCAGCCATAATACAGGCTGTGTTAAACCTCTCAGTGGATTTAAATCATGTAAAAACCCCAAAGAAAAATAGTTCTTTTGAATTCACTTAGAGCATAGCTTAAGAATACATACATGATGAAAAACATAATTGTGGAGTGCTCTAGTGGTTTTTCCTTTATAGCTGCCGGGCAATCCCAACCATACATGCACACGCACACCCCGACACACACACATGCACACCCCAACACACACGACTTGCAACTGAAACATGGTGATAGATGTAAAGATCATATAGAGAAACTTGTGACTTTTGTCCCCATCTCAAGGAACTTGTTTTTGACCTGTTCAAGATGCTGTGCTAAAGCTCCTGAAAAGTCAAGTTGAGAGTGAAAGATTAAAATAACAATTCAAGAGAACCGTAGACAAGTAAAAGGGCTTTTATCATTTGTTCCTAACAGAATTATGTGGATTATAATGGTTAAAATGGGTATAGTTTTCCTGGTAGAGTTCTTATGCTTTTATTTTTCATTGAGTGATTGTTTATTTTGTTTCTATTATGTGTGATGGCAAATCCAAGGTAAAAGCAAATCTGTATCCTTCCCTCAAGAGCTTATACGCAGGGTAGAGTAAAATTTTGCATATGGTTAACCAGAAAACAACTTGAAACTCAAGTGCTAACCATCAAAAAGGTACAAATACAGTTGATTTCTAACTGGAAGAATCAGAGAGGGCTTCATGGAAACATGGCACTTACCATGAATTTGGAGGCAGAATTTTGGATGGAGTAGATCAGGCACAATATCCTTTAAGAGCAAAGTAAGTAAAGGAATTTAGGATTTATTTTTTATTTTTTATTTTTATTTATTTATTTTTATTTTATTTTATTTTTTTCTGGTGACTAAAACCCTGGAAACCAGCTTTGGTGGTGAGGTTGAATTAACCAGGCTTAATTCCTATCACATGCTATTGCAGTTTAATAAATTCCTGCAGTTAATGAAAGCTTTTTTTTTTTTTTTCCCCTGCCTCCTGCAGTGTGCTGCTCTGGTTGGTGAAGACCAGCCTCTTTGCCCAGATCTTCCTGAACTTGACCTTTCTGAACTAGACGTGAACGACTTGGATACAGACAGCTTTCTGGGTGGACTCAAGTGGTGCAGTGACCAATCAGAAATAATATCCAATCAGTACAACAATGAGCCTTCAAACATATTTGAGGTAAGGGCATCCCTTGGTGAAAATTATTTTCTCATTGACCTGGGCTTGGGCCACAATATGATTATTGGCCTGAAAGCAGAATGCGTTCTTACTTTGCAGTCATCAAAAGACTTTTTATCACAGGTAGGCATTTCCAGTTTTGTGGAAAAACAATGTTTGCAAAATAAATGGATTTTGTTGTTGTTGTTTTGAGAATTAAGGGGCAGAGGGCCCCCAACAGAGTGCATTAAACTGTGTTGAAATACTAAAGGGGTTGTGAAAGAATTAGTGACAACGAAGAACAAAAGTCTAAACCTGTTTATTCCTGTCTATTTCCCACAGAAAAGGGCCTCATGTAAATTAATGTAAAATGTAAAAGAATGCAGTTTTTTTTAATCCAAGAGATTAGATGTCTACCTTTATTTGCCTCATAAAGTAAGCAAGCAGTTATTCTTATTGTTATTTTGTGATCATACCTCTGATTTCTCTCTGTCATAGAAACTTCGAAACACAGCTGCTCTACTATTTACTTATAAATTAGTGAAAATTTGCTTACCTTTCAATAGTGAGAATTACCTCCCAGGCTCCAGACTCTTATTATAAGCCTACCCTATAATAAGGAATGTTAATCTACTCCTATTAAAGTGTTACTTTGAAAAAAAGTTCTTTCTCACAAGAGCAGCCCTCGTTTACTTGAAAATAAACGGTTTCTTGTAGGGACAGACATCGAGTGCTCTGGCAAACGAATTGAATATAGATTGTCAAATCAACTACTTTTCAGTATCACGGCACCCACATCTCCATCATCATCTGACTTCTCCCTAATATGGCCAGGCTCCATGCAAAGCACTTGAAGTGTATTTTTTAATCCCACCAGCAGAGACATTTTTTAAATCTCAGTGTATTTGGTTGAAATCTCGAGTCATTAAGAAAGCCAATTTTACAATATTTATTGAGTTTTTCCAGCACCCAGCACATAAAAGGCACTGAATAAATGTTTATTGAGTCATTAAGAAAACCAATTTTACAATATTTACCGGGGTTTTTCAGCACCCAGCACACAGAAGGTGTTGAATAAATGTGTGTTGACTAATGAGTGAATAGTGACTATATTAGTATTAATAACAGTAATAATGAATGATAACAACAGCGGCCAACATTTGGAGACCCCCTGCTCTATAGGTTTCTTCTCACATCTCCCACAAAACAGCATATTTTTTAGGTACCCTGAGTGTCATTTCCACTTTGCCTATGCCGACACCGAGTCTCAGAGAGGTTAAGTAATTTTCCCCAAGGCACACTGTTGACAAAAAAGACCAGGGAATTGAACCCCAAATCGATCTGACTTCCCACTCTATATCACTGATCCAAAAAAAAAAAAAAATACAGTAACAGTGAGGTTGGGTGACAACCATCCTTTACAAAGACGTATGAAGCCGCTGCTTTGTTGACTATATTTAAAAATAGAACAGACTCATTCCTTTCAGTGTTAGTTGACGTGGAAGCAGGGATTGCTGGGTGGGGGAGCTGGGGTGGCTGTAGGTTCTGGCCATAACTAAGATCTTCTAAGATGTCTGAACAGAGTCTTAGAAGAGTGCTGAAGGCGGGGGAGTCAGGGCTGTGGAGAAGACACCCTGAAGGTCTGTGGTTAGTTACACTTCCCAGGCTTCTCAGCCTAGGTCTTAGAAAGTTCATGTGAGGACTTGGCTAGTTAGAACTGGTAAATTGAACATTCCTCATTCAGTACACTTGTCAGGCGACAGGCCCGTTTTTAAGTCATGCTGCATTAAGTAAACAGTACTTTAAAAAATGTCCATCTCTATAGACCTCTTATCTAAAAATCTAAAAAATTCCATGTTGGATAATTGCCATGCATTTTGCAGATGACGGCTAGGGAATTATGAGTAGTTCGGAGTGGGGGGTGGTCCATGCCTTCCTGTTGGGCTAGTTTCGAAAAATCTCTTCATCATGACTTCGTGTCCCCATGTTTGGTGTGGTGGCATCAGCATCAGTATTTCTCATTTATACCTTTAGGAGACTTCGCTCACCAACTAGTTATATATAGATACTTTAATCTGTACGAAGACATCCCTTTCCCTTCCCTTTATAACTTTCTACCACTGATAGAATTGTTTTCTGTGCTCTAAAACACAGGGTTCATTTAATTTAATTTCTCATGAGCTCATTTTAAACCAGTGACTCTCAAGTCAGAGCGTTTTCGCCCCCCAAGGGATGTTTAGCACTGTCTGGAGATAGGTTTGATGTTTCGGTCTGAAAGCAAGAGGCTGCTGCTGGCATTTTGTGGGTGATGACCAGCGTTGTTGCTAACTATCCCACAGAGCCCAGGACAGCTTCCCACAACAAAGAACTATTTGGCCCTAAAATGACAATTGTGCTGAGGCTGGGAACCCCTAAAAAAAAGAAAATAAAGACACTGAATTCCCTTTTATAAAACAGCTAAGATAAGCTGGTCAGCTTTCAGAGAAAAGATACAGGATCATTAAGAGACAGGATATGAAGAATCAGAAGCCACATAAAATTATGGAGATGGCCAGGGCCCTGGGACAGAGATGTCAGGAATTCTCTTAGTGACAGCGAAAGTGACCGTTTAGATAACCTGTAACAATTTTCTCTGATGTCACAAACCTCATTCCTCTTTGCCTGTGCAAAGGGTAAGGCCGTATGTGGCAACACTGTGACACACGGCAGCGGCTTCCCGAGCATTTGCATACAGCCAAGATGCCTCTACTCTTTGCCCTCTAGCGTTAAACTCAGACATCTCTTCTGTAACAGGAGAAAAAAAAAATGTGTGTGGAGCATAGGTGGAATTTGAAAATCGTTTCTCCCTATGAGGGAGGTCCGGAGGCAGACAGTAACCCTTGATGGGCCACAGCTCTGGGGTGCTTTCTTCAAAGCTGCCTTTCACTGAAGCCCTTCCCTGAGCCTGTGCCTTTAAGCCTCTCCCTGTGGACTTTACCCGTGCTCACTTTCTTCCAGTTCTCAAAGCCCTGCCTCATCACATTTGTGAAGGCCTTGTACTTGAGCAAGCCAAACAGTCACGGTTTCCACCACCTCAGATCTGCCAATAACAAGCATGATCTACCGCTGCTTCCCAGAATAAAATGAGGCACCAAGCAGTTCAACACTTTCCCTAACTCAAGTAGCCTATCGATGACACCCCAGGAAACTGGCCACAGGATTTCTGGATTCTAATCAAAGGGGAGAGAAAGGGGTATTTAGAGATACAGACAGGATATAGACAGTCTATGGATAGTAGAGCCGAATGTTAAAACCTTGGGGAGTAAATAGAAATTTCTTCCTTTGGCCTCTTTCATACATTTGAATCTAAGTTTAATTTTTATTTGACTTTATTTTTTAAAGATCTATTTATTTATTTGAGAGAGAGAAAGAGAGAGAGAGAGCACAAGCAGGGGAAGGGGCAGGGGGAGAGGGAGAGGATCCCAAGCAGACTCCATGCTGAGTGCAGAGCCTGACGCGGGGATCCATCTCACCACCCCAAGATCATGACCTGAGCTGAAATCAAGAGCTGGCCACTTCACTGACCAAGGGACCCAGGCACCCCTATTTTTATTTGATTTTAAGAGAAAACAAGAACATAATTGAATGTCCCACTTTAGGAAGGAGTGAATTCCTCAGTGGGAGAAAGAGGTGCCAATATGCAGTTGTCCACGTTGGTTGAGAAACTGGACACACAAACAGCAGTTTCTGGTTGCATGACCTATGCTGGATGTATAAATGCAGGTGACCAGGTTTTATACAGAAACCACTTAGAAAAACAGGACACAGGCTGTTTGGGTGCAGCCTCTAGTGAATCTGACCCATGTGTCAGGAAAACAGGATGCTGTCTCTGGACCGGTTGGTAGCAAGATTTATGTTTCAGAATATTGCAACATAACTTCCTTCCCTCTCTTGCCTTTGTGCATTGTTTGAAGAAAGAGAATAAAGGAGTGCTTTTACAGCATGGAGGTATGTAAGGATGGGTGGCCCCAGGATTAGTGTAAATAGCACACTGGCCCTTCTGGTCACCACAGGCCCCCTTGCCCTGCTTCCATTAAACATCTGCTTTCGATGCCTTCTTGATGCAACTGAATGAGCATCTTCCATTCATTCGTCTGTTACTTCTGAATGCAGCTACTTGGGGTTCGTTAGAACATGGCGATTGAGAATGTAGCTGTCTCTAGGTCATGACACATAATATGTTCTGAAGTCTGCCTTTGCTAATGGGGAGACAAGGGCCCACAGCTGCAGCCAGCATTCATATCAAGGGATCCTGGGGGGTGCTCAGTAAGGTCTGATACTGTGGACTTGGGCGGGAGATAAAGGGCGAGGTGGCTTCCCGTTATCTGTCTGTAAGGTGTCCTGTCGTGCCAACAAGGGAATGGTGGTCGGAAGCTTTCGAGAATGCCTGGTTATTCTGATGGGAATGCAAGTGATTTGATATTTCTTCTTTTGACTTTCAGTTGTATTCTCTCTCTCTCTTTTTTTCCCCCTAAAATGGGCATATGTTACGTACTTATCAAAAAGTTTCAAATAACTTGGCTATTCAGATGACTGAGCATTTGGAGATCAGAGCACTTACTTGTCTTGTTCACTGAAGTTTTTCTTGATGTTTTGTTGGAAAACAACAGCAAATAAATATTAAAAAAAATATTTGCAGCAAAAGGAATGAATTGATCATCATGTATTCAGTGATGACGTGAGCCCCATTAGGTAAAATATAATTACATATAAAGCACAAAGGATCTGTTTCCTAAAGAACCTTAAACCTAGTTTGGGAGGTCAAATGAATTAATGTGAAACAGTTAGCAAACAACGGAAGACTGTGTCTACATGTGTACGTATATAGATGTTTCTTAGCAATTAAAATTAATGTGACACTGTATATTCATGTATATGTGTATATGTGTATTTACATACACAGTTATATATTATATATATTAGCAATCGCAGGACTGTGTGTGTGCATATGTACACGTATACACGTGTGTGTCTGTGCATGT